CTTTCACCTCAGCCTTCCAAGTAGCTGGAACTACAGGCGCGCTACCACGCCCAGCTAATTTTTGATTTATTGTAGAGATGAGGTCTCGCCAAGTTGCCCAGGCAGGTCTCGAACCCGCAGGCTCAGGCAGTCCACTCACCTCAGCCTCCCAAAGCTCTGGGATTACAGGCTCAGCCATGGAGCCTGGCTGGGTCAGCTCTCAATGAAACTTTTTCAGGCTTGGAGTTAATCATATGAACTGGGAACATTGAGAAGTAAAGGACCATATATTTAAAGGAGGTTCATACAAGTTTGGGGTAGTCAAATGTCATCCCCTGGTCAGGTGCGGTGGCTTAAACCTGTAATCCCAGCCCTTTGGAAGGCCGAGGTGAGAAGATTGCCTGAGTCCAGGAGTTTGAGACCAGCCCAGGCAATTTGGTGAGACCTTGTCTCTACAATAAATCAAAAAATTAGCCAGGAGTGGTGGCGTGCGCCTATAGTTCTAGCTATTTGGAAGGTTGAGGAGGAAGGATCGCCTGAGCCCAGCAGGTCAAGGCTGCGGTGGCCATGAGTGTGCATTCCAACTTGGGTGACAGAGTAAGACTCCAATTCAATATAAACAAAAAAAGAAAAAAAAAATCATTTCCTCTAGAAGCTTTTACTCACCTGCACGTGGGCAAAGATCATCACTGTCTTTGGGGCTCCTACAACACTGTCAATTTCTCGATGATAGTACTTATCACATATCTTTAATTATTTATTCCTTTGTTGGCCCCTCTTCTATGTTAGAGACACAGTCTTATTCATTTTTGTATCTCCAGTGTTTGGAAGCATCAATAAACATTGGCCACGTTAATGAAGAGGAGAGGAAAGTTGTATGGTGTAGTGCTGTGAAAGGCAATGAACCGGCAGTCAGAATGTAGGGCTCTAATCCTGGTTGTGCTACTCAGTGGCTGTATGACTTTGAATAAGTCCCTTCACTGTTCTGAGTCTTAATTTCCTAATCTGTAAAATGAGAGTAAAAATACAACCTTCCTCCGCAAGGTTATGATTAAATGAGGTTTACCAGCTGCCTGCCCAGTTTGTACCCTGCCTTCCTGAAACAGCCTAGACTATTGTTCCTGACATTTGCATCTCATTTGCTCTCTCTCTCCTGGTGAGAGCTGAGCTGAAATCTGTTGCTCTGTTGGAGGGGAAGTTTGCAGCAGTGACATACATAACATCCAGTTGGCCCTTGTGTTGTTGGAAGGGCAGACACCAAAAGAGGGGAGCATGTCAGGCTAGAGAGAGACCTGCTTCTTTTATGACCCCTAAAGCTGAAAGAGGACCCAAAGTGGGAAGAGTGAGGCAGAGCAGATCTATATCATGTGCTGAGAAGTCTTAGGAAACCTTCAAATATTGCCCCCAAGCCCTGGAATTTAGCAGCATCTGGAGGAATGCCACTTCTATGAAGTCTACTCATTCATCTAATGTCATAATATTTCAGTGCCTTGGGCTGATATGATTAACTCTATCATGGGTATTCAAGTGGTAAGAAAGATGAGGGGAGGTAAAAAATTGCAAATGTCAAATAAGGGGAATACTATTTGGAAAAAAATGGAAAATCATGATTTTAGGCACTGCTGTTTCAAGAAATGACTATCCATTCTCAGGAGATATCTTTCCAGAAGATTTACTAATATTACTCTTTTCACATTGTAAAGGCAAAATTTTTCATCAATACTTATTATATCTCCTATTTACAAGTCATGTATCTGGGGAGGTCCTGGAATCTACAATTGATAATTGTAGTGCTTTCTGGGAGTCCCTTTATTGAGTTTATTTAGTTGTAAGGACTGGGCCTTATCACAAGACAAGTGGTCAAGAGAAGATGATGACAGAAGAGACAGAAGAAGGGATCGAGGTCAGTGGAATCCTTCCTCAAAGGCTAAAGTCAGTTCTGGTGTTAAAGCTAGTGACTTTTAAAAAAAAGTACATTTCCATTTTGCAAGGCTTTTAAAAAATATTGTGTGCTCAGATGGCACCTTTAATCACGAAGAACTTTTGGCTGAGCTCCAGACTGATTCTGCTGGCACAGAGAACTCTGAGATCATACCCTATATTCAGAGCACAGAAGAAATATTTAATCCATCTCTGAAATAAAGAGGGGGAAACAATGCATATTTGAACAGTTACAGAGCAAAACCATACCAGGGTGAAAAGCGAAGGACATCCTATCCATTTGAAATTACAGAAAGGTACTATTCATTTTAAATACTTAAGTGGCTTTTTTTTTCATTCTCAGAATGTTTCACAATAAACTAAGCAGCTTATATAAATCTCCTATTTCACAAATTTATAAATGAAGGCAGACAGATTTCATGATTTACCTAAGACTACCTTAAATTTAAAAAAGAAAGGGAGGAGGCAAAGGAAAAAAAGCAACTCTCAAAGTAGCAGGTTGTAACCCAGGAGTTTGAGCTCTTAGAGCCGAATTTAATCCACACCCAGGCCAAATATAATTCTTCAGGATGGAAGTGGTCCAGGACACCCGAGCTAACTTCTCCTACCTTTGCCAAAGAGCCTGAGGCAGTTTGATGACAAGCAATCAGAACCTCACTTCTATTTCTCAGTTCAAAGAAAGTAAGGCCAGCATTATCTGACAGGTGCTTCCCATCATGGCAGAGCACTCATTCAAGCTCATCTGAAGGAAGTATGCTTTTCCTTGATTCATCATTGCCTCTTGCATCACTGTTATTCTTTGGAGGTCTTCTATTCAAAGGTCTATTAAGTTGGAGAGCTGGGTCATACAATTTTAGGTGGCAAAGTTGAATCACAGCTTTCCTTCATGTGTCAGTCTTGAGCACTTGATTATATACTGTGCTTTTTCTTCACTACATCCCCCCAAAGCCTTAGCTGTGGGAAAGGACTGGGTGATTGCTCTGTGTATTAAAAATTGAAACCCCACAACTAAAAGATGAAAAGTGGTCCAGGCAAAGGCTGCTGTAGAAATCTGAAAGCCATTATCTTTTCCACACTTCCTCTTTCTTCACCCTCATTTTGTTTGGGAATGCACTGGGATACCCGTGAACAAAAATAAACCAATTTACCCTTGACTGATTGTTTTGCCTTTTGAATGATCAAACTTGAGTACTTCTGGCTCCCAGATATGGGAGGTAGAGACTGCTGGGAAGCTAGCCACAAATTAGAGTTGCTCTTCCAGCATCTTCTACCTGAAGGAATGGTTCAGGAGATTAAAATTAATGAGCCCTGCCCCAAAGTTGATCTAGCTTCTGCATCACATTTGGATTTCAGAAATGTAACAAAGCATATGAAAATCCTGGTGTGTATTCTGAGTTCCATCCATACTTTTACTGGCTCTTTTTAACCAGTTATCCTGTACCCAGTTCATTTACATTTTGACTGTCTGTTCCCAGGAACCGTCTCACCTCAGTCAAGGTACCTTTAAGGAAGGCAGAACCACCTCAGGAGGTAAACGGTGAGACGTGGCAACTCTTCCATAGGCGAATCAATATAGCAGACCCGCTCAGGGTAGGAGGCTTTGCTAAGGCTTAAATCAGGTTGTCAACTCAAACACAATGGGCTTTGTTACTCCAGCGTAAAGAGGAAATGGAGCAGTTTTTGGCCTCCTCAGACAGTATTGTAGGGTATGTAGGATGGCAATTCCAGACACAATCTTCAGGAGACACAAATCTGTTTTTAGCTATTCAGTGTTCCCCAGCAAGTTAATTAGCTGTTTCTGAAATGCATGGAAATATTCAGCATTTTCACACTGAAGCCAATCTCATAGCGTTAAGCCTGGGGGAGGGAATGGGCATGTGAGGAAGGGGGTCTGTCAGGGAAACAGAACAGAGCCCTTTTGGCGAGAGATTCCAACACCTGTGATTTATCTCAAAATCACACATGTAATTCCAGGTCATTTTTTCTGGCTTGAGCACTTGAATCGGAGGGTTTACCACTATTTATTTTAGGTGTGGGGTTACTTCTGGGTTCTAAAGTCCTTCGGTGGGGAGCACAGAGGAACTGCGGTGTCTCCCTAGGAAATGCCTAACTGCTCAAGGGGAGAAGCAGGGACTGGGCTCAGGTAGCAGCTGGGAAGGCTGCAGGGGGGTCACGGGAACACCCTCTCACTGAGCGGTAGCGGTCCTGCAAGTGGGTTTGGGGACCTTTGCGTTATCTGACAACTTATCACGGGGCGTGGGGAGGGTTGTCCCAACACAGTGGAGAGGTCTATGGGGAAGGACTCTGCCCGGAGACCTCGTAAGGACCAGAAGAGCGTGCGCCCCGCCAAGTGACAACACGCACCCCCTCCCATGTCCGCTCCCCTCCCCCGCGGCCAGTCTCCGGGCAGAGGCATCTCACGCCAGCCCGTCCTCCCCGCTCCTCACTCGTCCGGGCGGACCGAGCCTCAGCGGGAGCCCTGCCTGTCTCCGGGCAGCTTGAGCCCCCGAGCGCTCGCCCAGCCTGTCAGTAACCGCCGTTTGCGCTTTCTTTCTTTCTTTTTTTTTCCTTCTCTTCTTTTCCTCTTCTGCCTTTGTCCCGCTTAGTAACTGGGTTCTGACCAATCGCTGCCTCACCGGCCGGCGCCGGCTGTCTCCTGATTGGCCCGCTTGGGGCGCGCAGCCGTCTCCCGCTCCTTCGCTGGAGCAAGGCAGACAAAAGACGCAGGCTCCAGGCTCCGGCAACCAGAATCAGCCAATCAGCATCCGTCTTCCTTCTCTTCCCTCTCCCCTCCTCCCTCCCGGCCTGGCTCGCGTGCTCGCAGCTCTGACTCCTGGAGTGCGGCCAGCGCCCGGACTGTACCATTCTCATTGAGGCTGGGGGAGAGAGAGGATAGCTGGTTCAAGAGCCGAGGCCAGGAGAGCGGTGAGGAGAGTTGAAAGCGGAGATGGAGGACAGCTTCCTAAACATCTTCTCAGGCACCTAACAACCCCACACGTCAAGGCGGCATAGAGTGGCAGGAGCAGTGGTGATGCTAGCTGTCCCCCCTGCCCTGCGCGGTTGGGTGGCGCCTCAGCGGGAGGGGGGAGAGTGGGGGCGGGAAAGGGTGTCCCCTCCGCGCCGTTAAAATGAAACTCTAGTGGCTGGAGTCAGGGCAGAGCGTGAGGGGAGCCGGTACCGGCTGGGCTGCTTACGCCCCGGCGGGAGCGCCCAGCCGAGCCGAGCCGAGCCGGAGTCTTCGACGGGTCCCGATCCTGGGGCTGCGGCAACTTGGGTTCGGATCCCGACCGGAACGGAGCCCGAGTCCTGGCCCCTGAGGGAGTCGCTCTCTGCAGACCAGTGGGACCCCGAAACTTGAACGCAATCCCCAACCCCCTTTTGATGACTTCCTTTGTCACTTCCCCAGCTTTCTCCCAACGTGTTCTTTTTTTTCCCTTTTATTCTCCCTCCTCCGAAGGACACAAAAGTGGCTTCCGCGGAAAGATTTGGAGGTGGTGGGAGCTTTTCGGAGAGCGACTGTGTAGAAAGGATTTTTGGGAAGCCGCTTTTTGGCACCTCTGCCCTCCGCTCCCCAAGCCTCTCTGTACCGTGTAGCTAGAAAGTTCGAGGGGCATTTTTCTGGGTGCTGTGGGAGAGAGGAGGACCCTGTCCTTGTCCTGGTAGTTGGCTGGACTTGTACCGGCCGTTGGAAACCCCGAAGTACATTTCCGTTTGGAACTTTTACAGATAAATATTTTTAGATTTTTAAATACCAGATAAAAAGTATATATGCTTTCTATATATTTCCTGACGACCTGCCCCTGACAGCGCGATGTACAATACAGTGTGGAGTATGGACCGCGATGACGCAGACTGGAGGGAGGTGATGATGCCCTACTCGACAGAACTGATATTTTATATTGAAATGGATCCTCCAGGTACTTGGGAGAAAAAAAGAATCTCGTGATGGGTTTGATTTGTGTTAACCAAAATCTTGGTGATGTGTTTTCAGGGCAGAAGTATTTGTGGGCGCGCTAAGGTTCGGGATGAGGGGCAGATTTGCAGTTGGAGCTGCAGTAAAACTGCTTCTGGTTCACACGTTTAAAGTTTGCAGTTAGGACCCTGATCCTATTGTCCTGCGAAGGTGGGGGTGGAGGCTGGAGTGGGGGAGGGAGGAGAAACCCATTAAAATTAAAAAAAAATTTTTTTTGGCTTCTTTGCTTTTGCGTGTTGTTCAGGTTTTTCTTGTGTCCTCCGCTTTTCTTTTTCTCTTTCTTTTCCTTTTTCAATTAGACTCTTCTACCTGCGAGGGATGTTTTATATCCCACGCTTGAAGTCAGTCTTTCCCTTTGGGGGAATTATTTAAAGCTTGTCATTTCATACATTTGTCTAATTTGCTTTGTAGTGTTTTACCTTGGTTAATTTCTGAAACTGAGTTGCCTATGTAATTATTCATTTTAAGACTAAGACTCCTTTTTTCTCCTGTAGAAACCAAATGCCGGCTAGTGATTTTTAGGGACTGAGCGTTCTTATTCAGTCATGGCCTTAGTCTGAGGTCTTCCTTTTCAGAATATAGTTGCTCAGAGAGATCTACATGCAATATTTTATTACATTTTAATTTATGATGATTTAACTTAATTTATGGGATAGGGTTTAATATAACTTCAATTCTTAGAGTTAAAAAAAGGAACCTTCCACTTTCTTGTGAATATGTGATATGTACATGTATGTGATAGGTTCCCTTACACATAGTGTAAAGTATACATATACAGTACTGTATTTTTATTTTAGAGCTTTGTCTGAGGCCATTACAGACATTTTGTGTATCTGGTAGGAAAGGGAAAGGAAGGGAAAATGGAAAAGTTGGGTTCTTTTTTTTCCTTTAAAGTGTACCCTGTTTTATGATTATTAGGTTGTCAGATTTTTGAACCCTTTTTGCAATTACAGATAGTGCTTTATGTAATGATTTTGAATAAGTTCAGGGCCTTTATAACTCCTTGTTTCTGTTGAGGATGAATTCTTTATGTCTTTTAAAAATGTGTTATATAGCTAAGCCTACAGAATAAATTGTGTATCATTGGGGAACCTTGCTTATTATAAGACTATGTTTTTGGAAATGTTTGAAAGGATTTGAGACCATGCAAGTGTAATGAAGTATAGCTGTCTTATAAAAGGTATGTAGAAACTGTTTATCCCTGTCCTTGCAAACAGTGAATTATCCTTTTTTTCAATTAGTGATAGTGTTAAATGATGCCATACTAAAAAAGAGTAATGAATAAGCCTTTTTCGTTTTTCACTCTTAATGATCTCTTAGATTTTTTTCCCTTTTCCTTCATTTTAGAGCCTTCTTTATTTGCTTTTAGAATCGCTACTGCAATCCAGATGCAGCTTTTCAGTGTTTTGTAAAGTTTGTAAGATTTATCACCCACCTATTGTGTGTTTCCCCCTTTGTTTCCCCCAATGGTAAAGCATCGCTTCTATTAGACATATTTGTCATTCATATGGATGTAAATTTAGTACATCACTGGTAATACTCTTGTAAAAAGTAAGGCTAATAATTCTAGATTCCTGTTATTATAAGCATTACATATTCAAACTGCCTTAGAATCATACAGTATTGCCTTGCTGACATACAAAGGGAATTTGTTGGGTGAGTGGTGTATAGGGAGGAGGGGGAGAAAATGAAGAAGGCAGTAATGGTTGAAAAATATTGACCTAGTAGAAAAATACTGGCCAAGTTAAGTTATTCAGAAATAATTTTAAGAAAAGTTGGCTATCATAACTATATGGAGATATGGGTCTTATAAGGTTGTATAGAAAATTCTGATACATACTTTGCTTGTTTTCCATGGAAAAGAACTTCTGAGTTTAAAATGTTCATCCTTGAATGAAATCGTACATACTGAGATTCTATGGAGAATATTGAAAATATACATGTGCTATTATTGTTACTATGTTTTTGAGTCAGTGTCTCACTCTCTTGTTCATACCGGAGTACAGTGACACAGTTATGACTCACAGCAGCCTCAAACTCCTGGGCTTAAGTGATCCTCTTACCTCAGCCTCCTGAAGTAGCTGGGACTGCAGGCATGCGCCACCACACCTGGCTAATTTTTTGGTTTTTTGTAGAGATCTGAGCTCTTGCTTCGTTGCCCAGCCTGGTCTCGAACTCCTGGGCTAAAGTGATCCTTCTGCCTTGGCTTCCTAAAGTGCTGGGATTACAGGCGTGAGCCCACCATACCCGGCCCATATAATATTCTTTTTTTTTTTTTTTTTTTTTTGAGTTGGAGTCTCACTCTGTCGCCCAGACTGGAGTGCAGTGGCAGCTCCTGGCCACCGCAGCCTTGACCCACTGGGCTCCAGCGATCCTTCCGCCTCAGTCTTCTGAGTAGCTGGAACTACAGGCGTGTGCTACCACGCCCGGCTAATTTTTTGATTTATTGTAGAAATGAGGTCTTGCCAAGTTGCCCAGGTGGGTCTCGAACCCGCGGGCTCAGGCAATCCACTCACCTCGGCCTCCCAAAGCACGGGATTACAGACTGAGCCACCCAGCCCGGCCATAATATTCTTTATTACTCATTTTGTAGCCTTAATGTAGAATATGGTTAGTTATTCCTAACAGTTTTTTATTTTTTATTTTTTGAGTTGGAGTCTCGCTCTGTTGCCCAGACTGGAGTGCAGTGGCCGCTCCTGGCCACCGCAGCCTTGACCTGCTGGGCTCTGGCGATCCTTCCGCCTCAGCCTTCCAAGTAGCCGGAATTACAGGCATGTGCTACCACACCCGGCTGATTTTTTGATTTATTGTAGAGATGAGGTCTCGCTGCCCAGGCGGGTCTCGAACCCGTGGGCTCAGGCAATCCATTCACCTCAGCCTCCCAATGGCGCGGGATTACAGGCTGAGCCGTTTTTAATTTAATTTTATTTATTTATTTATTTATTTATTTATTTATTTTGAATTGGAGTCTCACTCTGTTGCCCAGACTGGAGTTCAGTGGCCGCTCTTGGCCACCGCAGCCTCGAACTGCTGGGCTCTGGCGATCCTTCCGCCTCAGCCTTTCAAGTAGTGGAATTACAGGCATGCGCTACCATGCCCGGCTGATTTTTTTGATTTATTGTAGAGATGAGGTCTCGTTGCTCAGGCGAGTCTCGAACCCGCGGGCTCAGGCAATCCACTCACAGCCTCCCAAAGGCGCGGGATTACAGGCTGAGCCACCGAGCCCAGCCCTAACAGTTTTTTAAAAAGAAAACTCTTGAGTGTGGTGAAGCATTGCCTATGACATGAATGTTTTTTCATGAAAATAATATGAATGCCAACCTTGTTGTGTGTGATAAATTAAGTTATTGAAACATTTCAAACTTTAAGTATATTATTAGTGAAGTGGTTGCAGCATATTTTTTAAATGTCTTCTTCCTAGTTTCTACCCCAGATCAAACTAGTATTATTTCCTGCCTGGACAGGAATGATAGTGCACTAACTGTTCTCTCCTGCTTTTATTGTGTGCAGTCTGCAGTAGTGTTAAAAGTATCATTTGACTGGGCTCGGTGGCTCAGCCTGTAATCCCAGCACTTTGGGAGACTGAGGCAAGTGGACCACCTGGAGCCCGCAGGTTCGAGACCAGCCTGGGCAATTTGGGCGAGACGTCATCTCTACAATAAATAATAAAAAAATTAGTCGGGTGTGGTAGCGTGCACCTGTAGTTCCAGTTACTTGGAAGGCTGAGGCGGAGGGATCACCTGAGCCCAGGAAGGCGATACTGGGGTAGCTGTGAGTGCCACGAAACTCCAGCCTGGGTGACAGGATGAGACTCCAAAAAAAAAAAAAAAAATCATGTAATGATTTACCTTCCAGTGATAAATCTTCTAATGCCTCTAAAAACCTTCCATTGTCTTCCTTTTGCCTACTGAAAAAAAGCTCCAGATTGCCTACACTGTCATATAAGTCTCTGTTTTAGCTTCCAACCTAATTTTCTAGTTCATTCTCCTCCTGGAGTCTATCATAAATTATATGGAAGTTATTTTGTATTTGCTGTTCCTTGAATTATGCTTTTTCATCTTTCTGGCATGCATTTTGCTCTCAGTGGTCACATGTTGAAATCTTATACATATATGTTTAGGACCGAGTCAGATGCTTTCTTTGCCAAGATATTTGTTCCCTAATCCTTCCTTTTCCTTCCCTCTTTTAGCACTTCTCAGATGGAATTTCTTCCAATCTGTCTAGAGAAGCTACTACACTTATTTATTTATACTTCCTCCTATGAAATTGTCTTCTTACCTGGTTATTAGCTTCTTAGCTTGTCCAGGGTCTTGTGAGTAGTAGACAGTTTAATTAATAAGTATTTAATTAATTAATAAATAAGGAGCACTGTTTCTTTCCGGCAGTTAGGTACTTTTCTACTTAGGATCCTTGGGTAGTGTGTGCCTGTAGTTCCAGCTACTTGGAAGGCTGAGGCGGAAGGATTGTCGGAGCCCAGCAGGTTGAGGCTGGGGTCGCCGGGTGGCCGGGAGCACTGCACTCCAGTCTGGGCGACAGAATGAGACTCCAACTCAAAAAAAAAAAGATCCTTGGTCGGTCGGGCTTGGTGGCTCAGCCTGTAATCCCAGCACTTTGGGAGGCCAAGGTGAGTGGATTGCCTGAGCCCGCGGGTTCGAGACCCACCCAGGCAACTTGGCGAGACCTCATCTCTACAATAAATAAAAAAAAATTAGCCCAGCGTGGTAGTGCATGCCTGTAGTTCTGGCTACTTGGAAGGCAGAGGTGGAAGGATCGCTGGAGCCCAGGAGTTCGAGGCTGCGGTGACTGGGAGTATGCCACTGCTCTCCTGTCTTGGTGACAGAGTGAAACTCCAAAAAAAAAAAAGATCATTGGTCACCTCATTCCTTGGCTGGCTGTTGTAATAGCCTGGGGTTAAATAACTTCTGAGTTAGACATTTGTTGACT